AAAATGTACTAGTGTTAAAAGTTTGGGCACAGACTCCTGACAGTCAAGTAAATCAAAAGAGTTCCCACCCCTCAGGAGGGTGTTTCATCCCCTTTTGGTTCAAAAACCACTCCCTAATGTAACCTCTTACTGGTGTTTTCAATTGTTCTCGAAAACTGTTAATCTGACGAGGAAAATGTATAGAACCTATAATGTCCTAAATTATCTTTATACCGGGTGTTAATACTAAGTTGTTACACCCGAAAACGGCAATTAGAAGTCATTAAAACAAACAACTTTTCTTAGTTCCAATTTTTGATTTGGCTATCAAAACTATCTTTCAGCTCTCTAAAATCGATCGATCAAAAATTTCAAAAAAACATTTTTGATAACCGCACTTGATCGATTTTTGAAAGTGAAACATTTATAAAATCCCACTATCATAGTTACTAGTACAACATAGGGGGGGCTCAGTAGCCACTGTTGCCAGCAGTGGTGAAGCTAAGCTATCCCAGATCGTTTGTATTGTCTTTTCTTGGTGGTTTTTGTCCTTTGTCTTTGTTTCATGTCCTCGAAATCCCAACAGCGTCGGATCCATAGTGGGCGGCTGCAGGGTCGGCGTCTGTTTCCCACGTTAGGGACGGCCGTACTTACTCGCTGGCAGTAGCTATAAAATGCAAAAAAAAGGAAAAATGGAACAGTCGATTTTAAAAACTAAACTACCCCAGGAGGGTAGAGCTCATAGCTCACAATCCCTCACTGCAGCGGCAGGCAGTCCCACAGATTCTGGGGGGGACATAATTTCGATTACTGACCTTGGCAATGCCATCGGCAAATCTCTTGATTATGGCGGCACACTTACTGTAAAGGACCCATCCTTGAAAATGGGCGCTGTTGGCAATCAGCGTACTAAAAGTGCTGATGGAGTAAGAGAGGGTTTTCCCTCCCTCCACAGTAGAGGTACCAGCGAGAAGGAGGACTCTGTGCCCCGGTTCCTGGTCCTTAGAAGGAAGGAAGGGGATTTTACGAATGTAAGCCCTTTCTTAATAAGTAGGACGTTATACGGACTAGCTGGTAATGTGAAAGATGTTAAGAAAATCAAAGGCGAGATATTGGTAGAAACAGTTTCTGCAAAACAGTCGAGAATGCTTAGACAATGTAAAATATTTGGAGGTATGGAGATTGAGGTTGAACCCCACGGTGCTTTGAACACTTCAAAAGGCGTTGTATTTTGTAGGGATCTTTTAAACTGCTCAACCGATGAGATAAGAGAAAACCTGATCGATCAGGGTGTAGTGGAAGTGAGACGGATTAGGACAAAGCGCGATGGTGTCTTTGTAGACACTGCAAACCACATCCTCACCTTTAATGTTCCGAAACTGCCCAAAACTATACAGGCTGCTTTTTATCCCTTGCAGGTGCGTCCGTACATACCCAATCCATTGCGCTGTTTTAATTGCCAGAAGTTTGGGCATTCGTCTGCAAATTGCAAAAATGAAAAAGTATGTGTCTGTGGAAAAACTCCACATGACAATAATTGTGAAGTCCCCGTCGTGTGTCCCAACTGTCAGGGCTCACTAGGATTCCGTATTTAGAGGCTAAAAAGAAAGCGGAGAGATTAGTGACCCCAAGTACGTCATTTGCTGAGAAAACAGCAAATAGTATCACTTCGGCAACGAATCATTCCACCACAATACCCTCTGTGCCTCCCACGGCTGTAACAGAACTTCTACCACAGGTTACAGAAACAATCAAAGCGGAGTTAACTAAATTTATGAGCTTAATAACCCAACAAATATCGTTAATGACGAAACAAACGATATCTTCGCAACAAAACTTCAGCGTGCCTCGGGCACCTGATCCTCCTCGACTAAGTTTAGATTCAAATCTAGCGACTAGGTGGGAAACTCAGACGTCTGCTCCACCTTCGCTACGATTGGATACAGATCTATCGACCGATGGGGAAGCTATGGATGCCGAATACCAAGAAAAAAGGAAAAGAAAAGATACCCAAAGTGAAGCATCATCTCCTAGTATTTGCGAAGAGGAACTAAATAAAGCTAGAGATGAAACTCTTAGCCAAAAGAAGAAAAAGGGTTGGCCAAAGGGCAAACCCAGAAAATAACTGTGATATAAGATTAACTGTGATATTTAAAAATAATAGTTTTAAAATCATTATATGTCTGTCTAATTATTTATTAATCCAATTGTAAATACGTCTGTCTATTTACACATGCATGTTGTAATTGTTCTAGTTTGTAAATACCTATAAATATATCAGACATTAACTTAAGTAACCAAATATAAAAATAGATTATACAATGGCGCATCAAAATATCATACAATGGAACTGTCGAGGTTTAAAGAATAGGCATTACGATATGAAACTCTTGCAACAAAAGTACAACCCTTTCTGTTTTTGTATCCAAGAGACGCATCTAAAACACAACCAAAGTTACGCTTTAGCGGGCTATAAGATTATCAGAAAAGACTGTGATAACAGAGAGAGAGCAGCTGGTGGTGTCGCTGTAGCGATTCAGGATTGTACATTTGTACGCACTTTGAGCAGGTGGTATTGAATACGACTCTTCAAGCGGTAGCTATTAAAATCGACCATCCAATGAAACTGTCAATATGTAACATATACCTACTTACGTGATACCAACTGGCAAATTGAAGAACTTGAAGAAACAAATAGTACTATTGAACACAGGAGCAGCCACATACCATAACTCTCGATCTATGTCCTTTGATGTCTGGATTTGTCTTTCGTATCCCCAGGGTTAGCACCACACCTGGAGTGGAGCGTTGCTGACGAACTGCACAACAGCGACCATTGCCCTATTGTCATTGAAACGGACTTGCCTGTAAATAAAAAACTCACTATAGTAGATGGTTACAACACAAAGGAAACTGGGTTAATTTTACGCAAAATCTAGTAGTCCCTGATGATATCAATGTTAGTTCAATAAGTAATGCTAAATAAAAGCCGCCAACATTAGCATTCCAAAATCCGGCACTAAAACAATATAAAGACCACTGCCTTGGTGGAATGAATAAGTCAAAGATGCAATAATAAAGAAAAAGTCAGCCTTTAGGAAGTATCAAGCACAACCCACAATAGAAAACCATATTGCAGTTAAAAAAAGCCCGTGCAATAAGCAGAAAAGTAACAGTAAACGTACAAGCTGGAACGAATATACGTCGACAATAACATCAGATAGCGATATCAAAGACCAATCGATACATTGCATTCAAACGTATAATGGAAATGATCTAACGGACAAACCCGAAGATATTGCGAACATCATGTCCAACCATTTCGCAAAAATGAGCAGTTCTGAAAACTACGACCCTGAATTCCTCGAATCAAAAGCAGAAAGGGAAAAAAATGTTCCGTTTCAATCAGAAACTAAACAAGACTATAATGCTGTGTTCATCATGACAGAATTTCATGCCGCACTGAAAAAGACAACAAAATCTAGTCCCGACCCAGACGGAATAACCAATGAGATGCTAAGAAATCTTACTACTGAAATGGAAAGGGCCGTGCTCGACCTATTTAATAAAATATGGGCAGAACATAAATGCGAGTGATCCCAATACTAAAACCGGGAAAGGATAAATTGAAACCAACAAGCTACCGCCCGATAAATTTAACAAACTGCCTTGGTAAGTTTATGGAAAGAATAGTGAATAGTAGACTACAGTGGACGCTGGAAAAGAAGGGAATATTGGCTCCGTACCAAGCAGGTTTTAAAAAGAATAGATCCACAACCGACCATCTGGCAGTAATGGAAAATGCAATACAGGAAGCTTTAATGAGACGACAACACCTGGTAGCAGTGCTGTTCGATATTAAAGGAGCTTACGATATGACATGGAGACACGTTATCGTAAAAAAGCTACATGAAGAAGGAATAACTGGAACTTTACCATTATTTATCCAATCCTTCCTAATCAATAGAACGTTCCGCGTAAGAATTGGGGATAAACTGTCATGCATAAGAATTCTCGAAAATGGTGTTCCGCAGGGTTCTACCATAAGCTGTAGTTTATTTGCATTAGCCATTAACGACATTGCACGTAACATTCCAAATGCTGTAAGAACTTGTCTATATGTAGATGATGTTGCCATCTTTTGCTCCGGTACAAATATGGGTGAGATAAAACGAAAAATGCAAACAGCCATAGATCAAATCGTACGTAACGGAATTGATATAGGTTACTCTTTCTCTGAGGAAAAAACGCAATGTATTCACTTTTGTAGGCTAAGAAGACCACATTACGACCCAATTTTCTACGTTAAAGGGAACCCTATACGATGTAGCGGTTATGTAAAGTTTCTGAGCGTAATGTTTGATACGCGGCTCTCATGGTCGGTACTCATCGAAAACCTAAAAAATAAATGCATCAATGATCTAACTATCCTGAAGGTCTTAGCAAATACTAATTGGGGAGCAGAGCCGAAAAGTTTGTTTAAGATATACCAGACATTAGTTCTGAGCAGAATTGACTATGGCTGCATAGTATACTCGTCTGCGAGAAAATCACTTATATCCAAACTTGATAAAATACATCATTCTGCGATAAGGATATCACTTGGCGCTTTTCCTACCAGCCCAATAGATAGCTTACAGTGCGAATCGGGTATGCCATCGCTAGAAACAAGAAGAAATTGTATACTGATCAAGTATTTCACAAATATAAAAGCACTACCAGCACATCCGAATAATTCCATTTTAGAAACAGATCAAACTATGTTTAGGTTGCGACCAACAATAACTAGGCGAGCTGTCGTCCGTTTCTCTGAATATATAGAGCGTAACAACATAATTCTACCTCCCTTATTAGAGGAACAAATACAAGAACATAGTCCATGGAAGCTATCAGAACCAGTAATTAGAAGTGATCTCTTATTACTCGAACGTAAAGAAACCCCACTTGATACATTTCAACAGAAATTTACAAATATATGTAGTGAGTATGGAGAATACGACATCATATTTACCGATGCGTCTAAATCTGGAAATGGAGTAGGATGTGCGATCGCCTCGCAGATAACAAATAAATGGACCTTAAATCCGCAGTCGACTATAGGATTCGCAGAAAGATATGCCATCTGGAAAGCTCTTCAGCACTGTTCCTCGTTGTCTGAAACTCAAAGATTTATTATTGCAAGCGATAATATAAATGCATTAACAGACTTAACACAAATTTATTCCAATAATGCTTTAACTAAACTGGCCCAATCAGAACTATTAAACCTAAACAACAAAAATGTATCCATCATATTTATTTGGGTGCCAGGACACGCAGGTATACCAGGCAACGACCTTGCAGACAGAACAGCACGAGAAGCTTCTGAACATCCACAAGTAGACGTTGACGTGATGGAAAAAACGGACGCATTTACATATCTAAAAGAAAAGATATTAGACACATGGCAACATAAATGGCAAGCGGCGAATACAAATCTTACCACAATAAAACGGCAAGTAAGGGGAATGTTTTACATTAAACATATGTCCAGAGCAGATATGGTCAAAACACACAGGCTGAGGATTGGTCATGTAAAGGTTACACACGAGCACCTGCTGAAGGGCCTCGATGCACCCTTGTGTGAATACTGCAACGAGAGACTGACCGTAACGCACATAATTTGCGACTGTGCAGCACATAACCACCAAAGAGCTGAAAAGAAATTAATGAGAAACTTACCTGATAATCTTAAAAGCGATGACCGGATTAGAAGTACTCTTGACTACCTAAAATTGATTAATATGTACAACAAAATATAATGCGGCAGTAGTAAGAACTTACAAGTGATTAGAAGTAGACGAAAAGACCTTAGCAGTCGAAGTCGTACTTAACAAAAAAAAAAAATTCCCCACATTTGAAATATGAACAAGTCTGGTGCAAATGTACTTATTATGTTTTTTTTTTTGGGAAAATTTGGATATGTCGGTAATACTTCAATATATGTATGTAACGGTTACGATGAAGCAAAACAAAATTAAAATATTATTGAAATAGAATGTTAAAACCCCCCTGGTCGCGATGAAAACGTTTCTTTATTAACGAAATGTCATTCATATTTCAAATGCACGATAGAAAATGACGTTCAGAACATATGACAATTCTGTTTCTATGGAAACGATCGCGACGGTAGAACCTAAGCTTGCTATTATTGAGCCTAACCCACTATTATTTGCAGGAATATCTTTCAGTTAGGAGTAGTTTTTGTTGTTCATTCTAGAGATGTTGTTGTTTTTATTTCATTGTTTAAGCGCAATAAAGGTACTCGTAATTCAGTTTTAATGAGCTTTTTGAAATTAGCGTCGCGGTTGTAAGTGTAACAGAGGGAGTAAAATGATTTTAGATTTCACAGATATGAAAGTTGCATAATCTTTCCAAAACATGTTGTAGTATGAAATTTCGAGTTAGTATTTTCTTCAAATTTTGATTACAAATGATTGCCAATTAATAAAATTATCAGTAAAAGACAAATGAACTAAATTTTCTCCTATTCTTAACCCATTTTTATCTGAGCTAATTACAAACGTACTATAATGCAAGAATACAACGAAGAAAATTATAAGAAGAATTTCGCCAATAGAACCACGAACCCGAAACTTATTTCCTATAATGGTAACTAACGTTAGAATATTATGACCCATCCAAAAACATATTCGCCCTAGGTTGGCTCAACCAATGAAATATTTCCCTACTGCTACACATGGACTTGGTATAATTACATTTTCACCTATATTTGTCATCTGTGATATGTACCTACCTCGTAAGAGGTATTCTACAAAATAATTAATTGAACTTTTAGTCCATGCGCGTATTAGCAAAAAACACAGAATATCCACAAAATGTCCTAAAAACGCATTTCTGCTGTAAGAATTACTTATGTACCTATCTACATAATACAAAGGGCATTTTTCGCATGTTATTATTATTTGCATAACCATTTTTAAATAAATGTTGAAGCAAGGGAACTTTCCTTTAGGAAGCTGCACGAATTGAGTGTATAATATGGATTTGCTCGATATCCGTACCGCATTAGTTTCGCATTGACGTATATCGGAATCCAGTAGAATGGAATTGTATGAATATTGGGCAAACTGGCAGAGAGAAATAAGTGAACATCTTTAGACACAATAATGTGGAATTACGCATGGGTTAAGGTGCATAGCATAAAATATAAAAACTTTACTCATAACGCCACGAGATTCTGAAATATTGCTTGCAATCGTCAAAATTGAAGTCCACAATGCGAATAGAAACACATGAAATATGAATCAGTATTTTGAATTCATTGTTTACTATGAACAAACATAGAATCGCAAAATTTGCATATAAAAACACTTGGCCGCTGGAAAAATGTTTGCAACTCCGCCACGAAGTTACCACGGAATGTATAAAATTATCCCGCAAATATCGATCTTTTTTGCCAAATAATCAATCACATTCTGTAAACAATCTCCACATTGGCAATCCGTAGTTGACCCTAAAATTTAAATGCCTTGACATAATAGCTATCCTCAGGAAATTAGGGAAACAATAACCCTATGTGCTAACCCTTTACAATGATGCATAAAATCGCTGGTTTTAGTAGAATTGCTTACAAAGCAAATGCTACAGCAGTTGTGCAGGGTGCACATATATTTTAAACAGCAGGCGTTTCCTGAAGACATAAATATGTGTGTTTTAAAAGTATAAAACTTTATTAGGAGCTGCATTGAACGATAATTCGACAAATGGAGCAAATGTGGAGCTAATTTTTACTAAAAAGGTGTAATTATTAACTAACCACGAGATATTGTACTCGCTTGTAATTCAACCAGTTTAATTATTTTATGTGCCCCTTGAGTACGCATAATAAAGATCTACCCCACAAGCACGCTTCTAAACAGAATACAACCTCGTGGAAAAACAATTTCGATAAGAAGGCACGAGCTTTTTTCATGTACAAAACCTTGCGCATCTACGCCATTTAGTCTAAACAAGTTGTAACCAAGGGAAAAATAAAATAGGTCTCGTTGGCTTGAGTAAGATAATGATCAAAAGTTACGAGCACTAAGCAGCTGCACTTCGACGTTCTTCCGGAGTTACCTACACTTGAAAGTTTCATATTCCGTACTGATGTGTGCACAATATCAAATATTGTCGATACGCGACCTATATACTTGTACGACTTTCAGTAATGTAACGCAATTTTATTCGGGATTTTACTCTTACTCGTTTTCGGCAAGAGTGTTTATGGTAAAACGTGATGCACATACGTATACCTTTACATACTCTTAAACGCTAACTTACTGCCGTTCGAGTTCGAGTCGATTTTTCGATTTTACATTTGGGAGTATAATTAGATTTGGTATTTCGTAACTAAGGGTGCGTGAAAACCCCGCGACTCCTTATGCTATAATTTCACCGGCTTTACTTCGATTTATTCCATTTAAGCACAGATTAACTTGCGATTTAAGTAAAGATTGTTGATGTCTTAGGTATAAATACCATTATAATTTATTAGTACGGGGACTACAAATATTATTCTACGGCAAAGGTAATTGCCAGTTTGTTTATAAATGTACAAGAAAGTACTCAAATTCCAAATCGATAGGTCTTCATGGAAATCTGTCTGCCTGTCCGTTTCCTAAGTGGAAGGTTTAGTATCTGGCAAATAAGACCCTCTTGGTTCAAGGGAGAACTCTATTGAAGATTGAATATGTACAAAAGTTTTCGATTATGTGAATATTTACGCCGCAGTAGTGCTCCCTGAGATTTAGAGATTTACCTAGAGTTTGTTGAGTATTTAGATGATTTTCTGGAAAATGAAGTCATATTGCAGTGTTAAAGTAGAGGAAGCGTTAAAACTGCTTATTCAGATATCAAAATAGTTAACAGTTACAGGCTTAATGGGTTAATTAATAATACTCTGACTTGTCCCCAAGTAGAAGTGGGTACGGAAAGGGACGCCTCTTGGATTTTGGACCAAGGTCATGATTCTTGGTTGCGTAACTAAGAAGTGACCTTGTTTTGCGGTGCAAATGTCCCCGACGAAAAATGTCGAGCCTTGGTGAAGGGGTTTCTCGTCAGGTAAAATACCATATACATAGAATTGAATGCCAAAATGGCATTTTTGCATTCGGAACCTTATTTAGCTTAATTACAATTAATCATGTATCAAATTTCATCAAAATCGGATGAATACTTTTAGGAGATAGCGTTAAGGATGCCAAAAGGGCAACGCTACTCTTAAAAAATGACAAATTGTGCATTTCACATATTACAAGAGAGAAAATCAAAATCGTTCAAGTAAAACAAAAAAATGTTCTGTACTTACATTAACAAAAAGTATTCACTCGCGAAATGATACACATACAATAATATCACTGTAATCGCGCAAACTTTTAGGAAATGATGAGAGATTAATAAAACTGGTAATACGGGTGATAGAAGACTAAGCAGAAATAGAGAGGATTGCTTTTGTACCGTAACTAGATATGTGTTTTTTTTCCAAACGTATTGCTCGTATTAATAACCATCGAGCCAGTCAGCGGATTCCACAAACATTTCGGGCGCTTCGTAGTGCTACAAAGTATAGAAAAAAACTCAATGTCCAGGGTAAAGTGAATTCGCAATAGAGAAAATTGGTACCTCACTTTAATTAAAATTTACGTTTATTTTGTGCAACTAAATATCATAATTAATTAATGTGAAAGGTTTGAGACACGCTAATTTTAAAAATCCAGAAAAAACACTTAAAAGTGAGTTTAAGCAAATGCTCGGTCCTCTTTCGACCACAAAGTTGTGCGTACTGACCAAAACGGGCAACAACCCAAAGTTGCAGATGAATCAAGCTGTCCCACCGCCGTACCCCTCCAAGAGATTTTTTTAGAATTATCTATGCCGTCAAGTTAAGCAGACATCCCAGCAATCACTCATCAAATGCCCCACTGTATTAAACTATATCTGTGATTGAACCATCCACGTAAGCTGTAAAGGGCATCCAGGTCTCCACATCAAAGGAAAAATAAACTCCATAAGGTTTGTTATCTAAATTGTATGATTGTTTTAAATTTCAATCGTTGGATTTATTATCTATTTAAGAAAGCAAATTTTGAATTATTACTTGAAAAGATAAAGTCAAACGAAGAATTTTAAAGTTGTCTAAAAACTTATGTAAACTGGTTTGTATGTCTTTTTGTATTCTCATCGAAAGAAATTTCTGAGTTTGCAACCAGTTTTATTAAACTTTTTATTTGGTTTGATCAAAGTATTCAAAGTGATGAATTCCAATTAACTTTCATATTAAGGGAGTCCAATTCAGGTTTGCACGATTTATTGCGTCAATATAAAACAAAATAAACTGTTTTTGTGGTACAAACTATTGTAAAATTTAAAAAAGAGTCACCATTTCTCCTTAGGAAGTAATTACTCATGTCTGTGCTAGGTAGGAATTTCAGGTTTAAGTCATTTCATAAAAAATTACTTGTAGCTGAGAAGATGCATACGTCAGTATCCCAATATTTTCCTTGCCTGGCTAGCTTATAGAACTAGTTGGATAGTATGTAAAATTGTAAACTATCCGAATGTATGGTTATTTTGATAGGAAATCATCACTAAAATAGCTACGAATATTAGTTGGTTTGTATACTATCCAGTTAGTCTATAAAGTATACAATAAGATTTATCGTTAAAGTACAAATCGTAAGAAACTTATATATTTTTTTTTTATTTAAATTATAAACCAGATTAGCGT